GAAACTTACCTAAAACCGAGCTTAACGATAGGAAATTTTCTAAATGTGCAACCAAACTGAGCATAATAAAACACCTACTAGTATTAAATCTTAGGCCTGATTGACCGGTCCTCCGGGTAAAAAACTTATGCATAATCGTACTGTCCAGATGCGATTAATAAGTCATATTTAAGGAATGCGATTAATAAGTCAAATCTATTTTGTATTGATGTAAATTAATTATAAACCTATGTTAATTTATAAGTCTAAATGACGTGAAAATTAATTGTAAGAAGTTTAAATGAGGTGAAATTATGAAGTGATCCTCTTTCAGACATTTTTTGCAGTTAAAATTTCATACTTTTTAAATCTAGATTGAAAAGATGCGGTAAATTTCACTCTCTTTTTTTTGGACTAATTTTTCTGAATGTGTAGAATTGTGCAGCTAAAGTAGGCATGTGCTTAAATACTTGTTCAACAGCAAGACTGTATAAGAATATGGGCATATATGACTAAAGAGTGAGTAATCATAACTAGAACTTCTGCTTGTAAGAAATTAACATTGGGAATCTTCTATACAATGAAAATGACCTCTCTCTACAATCTACTCTTTCTCATTTCTAATCCTAAGTTACAAAATTTGCACCATAGTCCTATTCATAATCTCCTCAAGTGGGAAGTGAGACCAATGAACACATCCTCTTCGATATGTACTGTGAGACCGTCCATTGGATGATCAAAGCCAAACTCTTCTTCAGCTTGAGCAAACAAGTGTAACGATTCAACCGGTCGTTTTGAGTTTTTGCACTTTGCTCGCCAGTTCTCGGACATGACTTGCCCCGTGTAGTATATTATGACTTATGTAAACCATTGGTTTTGGTTTTCAGGGTAATCGGAATGAATTTGGAAGAACAGTTCTCAGTTTGAAGCTTGAAATTTGAAAGGTTTGACCAAGATTTGACTTGTTTGTATATGATCTCGGATCGGAAATTTTATGACTTTGTTAGCTCCGTTAGGTGATTTGGGACTTGGGAGCGTGATCGGAATGCATTTTGGAAGTCCGTGGAAGGTTTAGGCTTGAATTGACGAAATTAAGATTTCGGCGTTTTGCGGTTGATAGATGAGATTTTGATATAGAGGTCGGAATGAAATTCCGAGAGTTGCAGTAGCTTCATTATGTCATTTGGGAGGTGTGTGCAAAATTTCAGGTCATTCGGACGTGGTTTGGTTGGGTTTTTGATCAAAAGCGTATTTCGGAAGATTTTTAGAAACTTAAGCTTGAATCCGATGTGTTTTGGGTGAATTAATGTTAATTGAGGTGTTTTGATGATTGGAACAAGTTTGAATAAGGTATTGAGTTATGTTTGTGCTTTTGGTTGAGGTCCCGGGAGCCTCGGGGTGATTTCGGGTGGTCAACGGAGAGATTGGAGATTTGTTGCAGCAGCTGATCTTGCTGGTTCTGGTATTTTCGCACGTGCGGAAGAGTAATCGCAGAAGCGAATTTTGGTCAGTTGAGCAGATACCGCAGAAGCGGTCAAGAAGGCCGCATCTGCGAAGCCGTAGATGCGGAGGTTCAGTCGCAGATGCAATTTTGGGTTTTAAGTGAGGAACCGCAGAAGCGGTGTCGTGGGCGCACCTGCGGTAGCGCAGGTGCGAGTGTAAAATCGCAGATGCGGAAATTATTATTTTAATGAAGACCGCAGATGCGGTGGAAAAGTCGCAGAAGCGGGACCACAAAAGCGGTAATGGGACCGCATGTGCGAAATTACCTGGGCCAGTAAGTATATAATGTTCCTTTGTGAAATTTTGCTAAGTTCTCCATTTTTTGAAGACGAGAAGCGAGCTAGGGCAGTGAATTCAAGGGAGAATCGAAGAGAAATAGTTGGGTAAGTTCCCTAAGCCTCATTACTCATGTTTATGATCATTTTTTCATTGTTTAATCATGGCATTAGTGGAAATTAAGGAAGAAATTGAGGGATTAGGGCTTGAGATTTAAGAGACCTCTGAGTGGGGATTTGAGGGGCCATTTGAGGTCCGATTTTGATGTTCTTGATATGTATGAACTCGTATGAGGATGGGGATTCTATTGATGCAAAAATTTCTGAGTTTCGAGAAGTGAGCCCGGGGCTCGGGTTTTGCTAATTTCGGGATTAGTGCCCATTATTGATTATTTTCGCTTGGGCTTTGTTCCCTTGGCATATTTTGATGCCCTCGTTCTGATTTTGGATAGATTCGACGAGCGTGGAGGTCAGTTCGAGGGGCAAAGGCGTCGCGAGCTAGAGATGGAGCCGGTTCGAGATGAGTAATTGTTGTAAATGATGTTCTGAGGGTTTGAAACCCCGGATTGCACATCGTAGTGCTATATTGAGGTGAGGCACACACTTAATGACGAGCGTGGGGTCGTGCACTATTGGGATTGTGACATTGTCCGTCCCGATTGATGATTTTACCGCGTATTTAATTGAAACCTATTGGCTATCATAATTATTTGGGCTGAATGCCATATTTGGGCTCCGTGCCAATTATTTGAACCCTTCGGGGATTTGTTGTTGATGTTTCCTCACTGTTTTGACTTTATACTTGAACTCAGTAATGTTATTTTCACTGTTTTCAAAACTCAGCCATGTTTACTCTGTTTTAATACTCAAATGATATTTAAATGATATTTTGGGCTGAGAAATACTGTTTTACTGTTGCCCAAGAGGCTTATGTGATTTTTGACTGAGTAAGGCCGAGGGCCTATGTTGTGAGGATATCTTTGGGATCGGGCTGCACGCCGCAGCGGTGATACACTGATTTGATTATGAGGCCGAGGGACTGTTTATGATGCCACGAGATGGCTTGATATTGCGCTTGGGCCGAAAGGGCTGGTACCCAGTGTGATGTGAGATGTAGCCCGAGGGGCTGGTATTGTTCTATGTGATTGCCCGAGGGGCTGGTACCGTTCTGAGATATTGCCCGAGGGGCGAATTTGTTGATATTGTGCCCGAGGGGCGAACCTTATGTGCTTATCTTTCTTACCTGCCTGTCATTTACTTGCTTAATTGTGTATGTTTGCCCGAGGGGCGGATTTCTGTGCTTATCTGCATTAGTTGTTATGCATTCATTTGCGCAACTATTGAAAAAGTTATTTTCAAAAGGGTTTAAAATGAGCTAAGATGTTTTACAGGATTTTACAGCTTCATTGCTTTCTTACTGGTTTTGAAACTGCTTCTATACAGCATGTTGATGCTCTTTTTGTGATTTCTTATCACTCAGTCTTTATTTACGATTATTACTCACTGAGTTGGCGTATTCACTTTACTCCCTGCACCATGTGTGCAGATTCAGGTATTCTACACCCGGTAGCGGGTTCTGGCTGATCGGAAGCAGAGTTATCGGAGTTTAGCAAGGTAGCTGCCGGCGTTCGCAACACTGCTTTTCTCCCTCCTTATTTTATTAGTCTGTACTTAGTACATTCCAGACTTTGCCAGTTGTATTTGGACTTAGTAGATGCTCATGACTAGTGACACCCCGGTTTGGGCTGTGTTTGGGTTGTATTTCCGCCTTGTTATGATATTATCCGCTGTTTAGCATTATTGAATCATGTTTTAGCCTGTTGCATTGCTGTTTAGCTGTTTAACTTCGAATTGGAAATGTGTCGGCTGGCCTTGTCTTCATGAGAGACGCCATCACGACCGGGTCTGGGTTTAAGGTCGTGACAACAAGTCTTGAAATAAAAGGCTGCCTCAAGTATGATATTGGCACAACGAATCTCTTCTTCTGGCTCTCTCCTACATATACTGCACAATGTCCTCTTGGAACACCTTCGGAGATTGAAGACCTCCTTAGGATTCGATTAGCCTGAATAAATGGAATCACTTTGCTACCAATTGTCTCAAGGAATATGATGTAACTCTAAATGATAAAGGAAAAGAGAGAACAAGAATTTTTAGAATTGCACAGAAAATGAAAGTTCTTCGAATGTCTAGATACTTGTGTTCTACTCAAATGCTGTGTGTATTTGTATATATACGGTAATGGCAATTTACATACTTAATGTTTTTTGGTGAAGAAAAATTTGAGAGACAACAACACATGAAGTTTCACATGGTTTTGCTTAATCTGTTAATGTCAAAGTATTCAGACCATAAATTTTGTTGAACAACAACATTAGGCCCTACTGTTTCTTATGATTTGGAACAAAAGACACCCTTAAAACAAACAATTTCAAGTAAGTGATGGTTGAAACAAAAGTCAAGAAGCATAATACTTCAAATAGAAGACCTGTATTTTGCACTGGTTGATATCACAGTTTTTGTTTCTCGACGAAAAGTGTGATAAATGATCTTTCTATTTATCAATATCCTTCATTTTCTTACACATAAATTACACCATTTTGTGACAAATGATCTTTTTATCCTTCTTCCCATGTACAGTCGTCCACCAAAAAGAAAGAAGAAAAAAAACAAAGAAAAAGGACTTCTGAATTAACTGCAAACGACTTATTTCTTCGGTTACTGAATCGCTTAGTTTGTTTTGATACTATTAACCAAAAAATGGTTCAGTTTTCTTATTGTTAATGTATCTTTTGAGTAAAATCTGTCAACAGTGTTACTCAAGCCCAAAAATTTTGTTATAACAAAAGCAGAATAGGACTAGACAAGATGACAATTTAAAGATCCCTTACCTACATGACAAAGAAAGGAGTAGCACATGGTTTTGCCTTCTACAAGCTATTCTTCATTTAATGGCTTCAAATTATTTAAGTATGAGCTGATATCATACCTAATATAGCTTCAATCTGTTGTCGACCAAAGTGAATAAATGAAGAAACTTTAGTATTATTTTCCATCCTTTCAAATTAGCTTCATCCACAGATTTAAGGCCCCATATCAACATGACCAACAGGCATCAACACATGGCTTTGCCTTTTGTTAGTAGCAAAAACTTCAGCTCCAACTAAAGATTTGTCGTCTCCAGTTTCTTGTATAAATAATCCCCCTTTCATGAACCTTCTCATTACCAAGAAACTCATCAAAATGGCTAGGAGATGGCAGAAGTTTGCAGCCATGCAGCGGAAAAGGATTTCATTTCCAAGAAATGGTAGTGATGAAGATAGTTGTAGTACATCTTCATCCTGTATAGTTGAAAAGGGCCATTTTGTAGTCTATACAATCGATCAAAGGCGATTTGTCATTCCCTTGGCATACCTTGAAAATGAGGTCGTTAGACAACTCTTAAACATGTCGGAAGAAGAGTTTGGGCTACCGAGTGGCGGCCCTATTAAATTACCCTGTGATTCAGCGTTCATGGATTACATCATTTCACAAATCAAGAAAGGTGTAGCCGCTGGCGATCTTCACAAAGCGTTGCTCCTCTCAATTCCTTCATGTTTCTGTTCAGCTTATTCTTTGCACCAAGAAAGTGGAAATCAGCAGCTTCTTGTTTGTTGAGTCATGACATAGTGTTTTGTAAATGATAGCTCAAAATAGATTGTAAAGTAGGAAACTAAAAGAAATGTGTTACAACAGATGAATTGGAGCTTCAATTTTCAATTTTGAAACCAACAAGTTCTTAACATTAGCGATAACTTGGTTGATCAAAACTTACAAATATATGAATCATTCTGACTAAAAAAGTGGAAGCCATATTACATTAGAGTTTTTGGCGAAGGGGATAGAGGGAATTGATCTTTAATTGGATATATCAGTGGATATTGGAAATCAAATGTATAAAAAATGATAAGTTTAATACATTTCGCAAATTATTATCTGAGACGAGGGGTGGCAAAATGGTTAAAAGAAAATAATTAACCACCCATATTATTCACTAATAAATGGGTTGAATAATGAGACATAACTCAATAAACAAGAAGTTACTGATTTCCATTTTCTTGGTGCAAATTAGAAGATGAAGTACAACAACATGAACGAATTGTTCTCTCAAAACTAATATCAATTGTTTAAACAACTATACAACAACATGTACAAGACTAATATCTTTAAGTGGACTACAACAACATGTACAAGACTAATATCTTTAAATATGAACACCAAATATATGGACAAAGAAATTGAAGAAAATTTACGATAAAGTGAAATATCAATTGTTTAGCGTCGCATACAACTTCGAGGAACAATCTTTTTCCTTCTGCATACAACTTATCATTGAACAAAATGTGACTAACAGCTAAATACTTCATTGGACACTATAGCACCAAATTTTAATTTCACACAGGGAGAATTTAAACTCATAATTTTTCACCACCAGGACCTCGTCCTTATCTTTGTCACCCTTCTGGTTTCTTGAAAAAAAAGTGATTAACAGCTAATAACTTCATTAAAAAACTTTTCTTAAATTCATGAAAAAAGTGAGCTGTGTCAATTCATAATAGAGTAAAGATTAGTCCTTTCTATTGTCTTTTCTTATCTTAAAATGATAATAGGGAAATGTGTTTATAAGGTATAAGTTTTATTGATCTGAATATCAAGTGTGGCTGTGTGGAATACCGTTAATTTTTAATTTTCATAACAATAATAACATAAGTGCTATAATTTGTTAAAAAATGTAACTTAAAAATAGCTCGCTCTCTACTAGTTTTTGGGCAAGCACGTTGCGTGTGTATTCCATATGAAGATCAATTTTTTTTTAAAAATCACATAATATATCGTTGAAAAGATGCGAAAAGTTTTATAAACAAATCATCTTTGATATGTCATCGAGGTAAATCAGTTAAATGAAGATTTGGTTTATGAATATAGGTAAAACATTATCCTCATCCGAAATGGATTCTGGTGAGTAATATAGATAATCAAGGTTTTTTATTCAAAGATCTAGTTTGAAAGTAATTAATTGCATCATTAGCAATCCTATTTTACTCTATTTAACCAATTATTCTTTTCATCCTTCTTATATTGCAGAAGTTAGTCTATTTTGTGAGTCCTTAATTGGTTCTGAAAAGTTCTTATTTCTGCTCTTTTCATGGTATATAAAGTATGATTAATCTTGTACTTCCAAATGAAACAGATTTTTCGTTTTCAGGACCTTTTTATGAAAAAAGAAAACACAATATTTAAGATGTTGTTTTACTCCCTCTATATATACTAAACTGAACCTGCACATTTAACTTGGTAAAGATAAGGAAAATGACCCTGCTAAAGTTAGAGCATGATCATTACGTCAAGCAATATTTAAAGTTATGTAGTGTGTAAGAAACTTCTGGTTTTTTCAAGATGAAAATTATTTTGCAACTGAAAAGGTGAACATCAGTTTCAAGATGAATACAAGACTAGTTGAGCTCTACATTCCAAAGGAAGAACAGTTCCAAAATAAGCTACAAAAATCAGCTTATTTTGAGAAGTGCTTTTTTTCAAAAGTGCTTTTCTCAAAAGTACTTTTGGTGAGAAGCAGTTTGTGTTTGGCTAATTAGTATGAAAAATACTTCTGAGCAGCAATTAGTGTTTGGCCAAGCTTTAAAAAACTGCTTCTAAGTTTATTTTTCTCAAAAGTGCTTCTCAAAAAAGTGCGCACTTTTTTTCCTTCCAAAAGCTTGGCCAAACACCTCATTTTTTGGCCAAACAGGCTATAGTTCAGCTTTCTTGCTTTGCGAACATTCATCTGCAATTGGTTTTTACATGTCAGCAAACGTGAATATGTGATTTCATTTCACAAGACTACTATTCTGGTCTTAGAGAGGTATCACGTCACCTTTACTAATAAGACCAGTATATAGATATATGTAGACTTAAAATGAATGGATTATTGCATACCCAAGTAAGTTCTCTCGCAAATCTCTTTCTCAGAACAAGAGTCTACTTGTTCTGCTACAAACAAAGGAAACATATGCTCTTCATAGACAATTTCACCGGCTTTAGAGCAAACTTGCAACTTACTTTCATTAGAATGTGACCTTTGTTTCTAATGTTACTAGAGTATGCGACAACGACAGCAACTGGATTCATCGGTCACAGAATCATGGTGTTCACTATTGCTATATCGGGTCCTCCTTATCCCAGTGGAATGTTCTGTTGGTTCATTGTTATTTTCCCTCATTTGTAACAAGGCCTCAACCTCAGCTTCTTCTTTATACAACAAACGAACTCCATACTTCTTCTCTTTTCCAGAAAAAGATAACCTAATAAACCCATAGTCATTTGGTGTTTTTCCATTTGCCTTAGATGTATCCCATAAGACAGCAAGAGGTACCAAAAAAAAATGAACAACACTTACTGTATGCCATTTTGAGGTATCACATGCTGAATGGTTGGATAAGGCAATTAAGTTTCCGGGTCATCCACGACATCCCATCATCACACACGGGAATCAATTGAGCTGTGGTGTCAATTAAGCTGCCAACGTAACATACAACAAATCCAAAGAATTTATCATGTATATACCAATTTTCAGGCAAATTGACTGATACACTACTATCCCTTCCCTGATGGAGGAACCAACTCGGGATCCCACGGATCGAGTCATAATAAGGATCCACACAGGTAAATACTCTTAGTGACAAGGAATCTGAAGCAGACGAAATACTCTGAAACAAGGAATTACAGATGGAATCCTTTCTCCAATAATCTGCATGTATTGTTTTTAATTCAGGAGGAAGTTCTGGCAGCTGTGTAAGCCTCTTGCAACCAAACTTTTCAACCTACAGATGCTGTTTGGAAGAGCTACAAGGTTATTCATACACCTCAAATATAGCTCGGTAATATGAGTTTGGTACTGAGTAAGAGATGATGGTATTTCCCTTATCCCAGAGGCTTGCATGCGAATCTCTATCTCCGGCTTCATTCTCCCGTGGATTTTTGGAAATTTCTCTAAACTTGAGCAATATTCTAAACTCAGATATTCAAGAGATTCCACGTTAACACATGGAAACCTCTCAAGGCTTGCACAATTACTCAAATCTAATCGAATGAGTTTGCTGCAACATCCCAAGGAATGGTGAACCTCTTCAAGATTATAACACCGATACATATTCAAATACTCCAAATTTGGCATCCCCGTGAAATCTGGTGTTCGCATCAGGCCTTCAGAGAAGCTGAGATCTATCCTCCGTAGAGACGACAAATGCTGTTCAGAACACACACAGAATGAGATAGAGAGAGAGGGAAAAAAAAGAACATTCGCTGCTCCGCAAGATTCCAATAATAAAATATTTGGTTATCTATCATTTGTATTTGTGGGCATCAAATGAGTAAATGACCTCTGTTTTCTTGATTACTTATTGCTAGCTTTCCTAAAATATTTATTGCTCCCTCGACAAGAAATGAACGATAGCATTTGAATTATGAGGGCCAACACATTACTTTTGTGCGAAATTAGAAATTTATTTTTTATATATGGAAAATTACTTGTTAAGAAACTGAATAAAAGTAAATTATAATATAAAAATACTGCTAACTGTAATTTAACATGATTGAAAAAAACTGTAGCAAAGAGAAAATTGTTTCTCTTTAAAAAAGTGTAATATAAAATGGGGAAACCCAAATGTTAAATCCGAAAGCAATGTATGAAAGTGTATATGCCATTCGAAAAAATATAGTTGTATTCAATAAATTCCTTCTGTTTTACTATACTAATAAGTATTCCTTCTGTACCACTATGTACAGCCCTAGAATGAGATTCATATGAATCTAATCTTACTATGAGAAATAATTGAATTAGTTAAAATGATGATGGGAAGACTTGGAGAGAAAAAAAGACATAAAGATCTTACAATAATACTCGAAAAAACCCCAAATAATATAAATTACAATTTTTTTTTGAGATGGAAATACATTAACTTGAGCTTATGGAATTAATAACTTTTGTTCATTTAAAGACATGCATTGTAATTCTAGCAAAAATAGAAAGTACCTCAAATAATACATGACAAAAGCAATAATATATGTTCATTATCACTAAATTAAAAGACAAAAGCTCTCGGCGTAGGATAGTGTGACTTTGCTATTTTGCGCCAATTCCACCGGAAAATGCCGCGAGGCCGGCCTCGACGACATGCAAATACTGTGGATCTGAGAGATTTAGCAGTGAAGGAAGTAGATAGAGAGCCAACTGAGAAACTAGATGAAGAAGCTAAGAAAATCAATGGAGCAGTAACGGACAAATCAATGGAACAGTGGCCAGCTTTAGCAAAAGGAGCAAAAACACCACCGTTGATTGCAAGAGTCTCAAATTCAGCTCAATCGGAACCTAACAAGAGTGCTACTGCTGTAATTGATGAATCCGTGAGGAATGAAGCTGGAAAAGGTATGATACCGATGCTCAAAGGAAATTGGAGATCCCTGCTGTGGCAAATGCAACGATGAAATGGAAGAGTTTATTTGCTGAGAATAAAATGGCAACTCGAGGTATGAATTTACAGTATATTGCCCCTACGATTAAGAATGGAGTTAAGGTAGCTAAATTAGACAAAGAGGTTGTGGAGCGAGCTACTGAAAAATGG